AATCTAGCTCAGGTGTCACTCGAGGGGTCTGTCTGCATGTGAAGCACCTATGACAACCCCTGTGCTCCTCTGCCCCTCATCAGCAATGCTATCTACTTGGGGGAATGCGTGCACTGAGACTTGTAGAAGGGACAACCTGGACAAACCAACATCACTCAGGCACCCTTTGATAGCTCAGCTGGTAGAGTGGAGGACTGTAGCATGTGCATGACAAGTGATCTTTAGGTTGCTGGTTCAACTCCAGCTCAAAGGAGTGATTCTTTTCCCTCTAGTCTGGTCTTAGCAGAAAGCAACCAAGATAGTTGCCTGGGTCCATGTCTTCAGTTAACTTCAGCACTGCAATTGACAGAAAGATTGTGGGTACAAGCTGCCAATTGTATTTCTTGAGCTGCACAGGTTATGTCCACACACAAAAGTTCTTTGGAACAATGGCCGTTATTCCAAAATAACGATGCAAGAGTCTACAAAGCACTTACGTTATTTTGAAATAATTCTGAAGTAACAAACAGCTTATTTCGACTTCTGTAAACCTCATTCTGTGAAGAATAACACCTATTTCAAATTAGCTATTTCAAAATAAGGCATCTGTAGATGTGCCACTGCTGCTAGTTTGAACTAGCCCCTCCCCAGGGCCATTCTAAGTTATTCTTCCTGGGGCTCTAAATCAAGGTAGCTCGTCTACACTGGGGATCCTGCCTCAGATAATTCTGAAGTTTCCCTGCAGTGTAAACGTGCTAGTTCGAAATAAGCTATTTTGGAATCACTATTCAAGAACAGCTTATTCCAAAATAAATGTGCCATGGAGACATAGCCAGAGAGATGAAGCAGCAGGAGGGAAGCCAGGAGTGCAGAGGCCAGCCTGACAACTGAGTAGCTCAACACAAAGACCACTCTGTGGGTTGCATTGTGTAAGGGGCAGTACACAGGACTTTGAATCCTGTAATCTGAGTTCAAATCTTAGTGGGACCAGCTGGTGTGGAGCTTGTTGTTGTGAGGCTTTTCATACTGCATGTCCAGGCTGCAGGCTTTTTGCACAAGAACAACTATTCTTGTGCAAAAACTTGCAAAGCGTCTACCCTACTTGTGCATTCTTGCACAAGAAAATTTACCATAAACCATTGGAAAAGAGGGCTTCTTGCATAAGAATAATTCCTCTCCCCATAAAGAATAAGCCCTCTTGCACAAGAAGGCAGTGTGCACAGGCAAAAGGGATTTATTGTGCCAGAAATCCCTACGGCTAAAATGGCAAGTAGAGCTTTCTTGCACAAGCAAGCATCCGCACTACCATGGATGCTCTTTATAAAGAGATATACCATCTCATAGAGCTGGAAGGGACCTTGAGAATTCGTCTAGTCCAGTCCCCTGCCCTCATGGCAGGAGCAAAAACCAACCCTGACAAGTTTGCTCCAGATCCCTAAATGACCCACTCAAGGATTAAACTCACAACCCTCGGTTTAAGAAGGCCAATGTTCAAACCACTGAGCTCGCCCTTACTCTTAGACTAAAGCACATGGCAGGGTGGATGTGCTCTTGAGCAAGAACAGTTCTTGGCCGAGAAGGCCGCAGTGTAGATGGAGCCCAAAGTTTTTCATAGTTTTTTGTTTTAAAAATATTTCAAACAATTATTCACTGTGCCCCAGGCCTGGAATTGTGCTGCAGCCATCTCCTTTTCTGGCTCTATGTGCACTGACCTTCTGTGTGGGTGCTAGGCTGAGAGGTACCAAGGGGTAACAGGTGCAAGGTGCATATAGAGAAGCTAGCACCAGAATCTCTGCAAGTGACCTCACTTTGCATACCTCAGCTTTTAACAAACACTCTCCTCCAGTCTGCAACCAACACCACTGTCTACTACTGAGGGGTCCTGTCTGGGAGAAGATGGCAATTTTAAAGAGACATTTGCTCAGTGTTCAAATATCTCACAGCTGCCATAGCAATGAGGAAGCCAAAGAGACTCTGCATATACTTGGAAATATCACAACTGTCACCCACTATAGGGCTTGAACCCACAATCCCTGGCTTAAGAAGCCAAAGCCTTATCCCTTAGGCCCCCAGGGCACACCAAGGACAGTAAAGAGACAGAAATTCCCTCTTCCAAATGCATATTCCTCAATTTTCGGTGCTAGATTCAAGCCCTTGGAAGGAGCCAGAAGGAGGCACCTCCAGCTGCCCTCAGTGTGGGTGACCCCACACTAGCTATGGGTGAAACTCCACACCTTGACATCTTGTCTCCCTCGCAAATCCAGGGGCTTGTTCCCACAGCTGCAGCCTCAGCAGGGAGCCGCACTGGTGCTCACTGCTCATGGGGAAGGGAGCGGGTCCCACAGGATCTGGGGCTGGCGGGGAAAGGGCAGTTGTCACTGAAGGGGAAGGATAAAATGCAGCCACATTTCTGAGGGCAGGGAGAGCGGCTGGGTCTGGCCTGACAGTGCCGTGGGACATCCCTGGGGGAGCTCTGTAACCTGACCCCAGCTCCCAAGACAGCAAGTGCAGAATCCCCCTCCGCCAGCCTGAGAGGCTCCGACCGGCCTGGTCTGAATCCATATGATGGGCTGGACGACCTCGATGCTGGAGTGTCAGAGCCCCTGTCAACCAGCCCTGTGTTTGTCCCCTCCCACACCAGGCAGGGCAGGGCCCACGCTCCCAGAAGGGAGTTACAAGTACGTCTCTCACAGTCAGACCACTGGGATGACCATGGAGCAGGACTCAGTAGCCCCTGTGTAGTACCCAGGGACTTACAGTGGGAGTCAGAGGCCTGCCTGGCCAGTGCCAGTCACCTCTGCACCCGCTCCAGGCTTCTGGTTTCCTTCTCCCTAACAAGCCTCTCCAATCAGCCCTTTCCTGAAATAGCAGCTCCATGGGTGGCCAGGGGAGGCCTCTCCTGTATCCCAGAAAGACATAGGAAAATGTGAGCAAAGGCCACAGCAAGGCACCACTGAGAGTTAAACCCAGCATCCCCTGTTTACAAGGCAGATGCTCTAGCCAGCTAAGCCATGGTGCCCTCTGCAGGCAAGTTGGTAAAACTGTTCTATTCTATGGTCCCAGACAACATCTTTGACTCCCAAAGTGCGGCCATTTCCTTCCTGCCCTGGTGGTGTCTGGCTCCCTGGGCACAGAAAGCTTCAGCTCAGTGCGCAGATGCTCTAACATGCACATCTCCCCCAGCTGCTGGGACTGTAGAGCTGGCCTTGAGATTTAGTGTTGCTGGGGGGAGGGAGAAGTACACCAAACATTGATCATCTGGATTGTAAACCCCTGGGTGTCAGGGTTTGGGTTGGAAACCCCAGGTGGGGGCCTGGCCTCCTTCGGGTTGGTCCCTTCCTGAAGGCACAGAATTAAGAGAGAATTCCTTTGCCCTGTAGCAATCTGAGTTGTCCAAAGAGCAAGCAACAAATTTATAAAACAATTAAGAAAAGGGAAAATGAGAAAGGTATGTGTGATGTCCTCAGGCTGTACAGCAGTACTGTGTGTTTTCTTTTAACCTATCTGAGATACCTATGGGAAGTTCAGAGACTGCCCCAGGCTTCCCTTCCAGTGCCCAGCTCTGCTATGGGTCAGACAATTGCTCTGGTGGTGGACATAGGCCTTCAGGGGCTAGGTGACAGAGTCCTCCTTAACTGTGTCAGCCCTCCCCCTCTCTGCATCAGGGTAATGATCCCTCCAAGAGTGGCCTGACAGGCCTCTGGACTGGTGGGATCTCCCAGTGCCAGGACCTCAGCCCAGGATCCTCCCTTGTTCTGCCCAGGTGCTCACAGCACCCAGCTCTGAATTGCTCCAACCCCAGCCTCACTCTGCTGCTGCAATGATGTTGCTCTGTCTCCTGGCCTCTGGGCTGCTTCTCTCCCTGCTCTGGTGCCTGCAGCCTGCTCCCCACACAAGTGAGCTGCCTGGGTTGCTTCTGCGCCCAGCACTGTCATACTGCCTGGCTGCTTTCTGCCTTTCTCTGGCTCACCTGACTGTGCTCTCCAGCTCAACTCAGTCTCTACTCTCTCCCTACCTCGGACCCACTCTGTCTGAACCCACTTTGTCTGAGCAATTGCAGCTCATATTGATGACATGAACCTCTTCCTGCATCCTGGCCCCTTTATTAGCTGCCCCGCTTGTCCATCATGCTGCCCTGTAGCCTTGGCCTCCTCTCACTGACCCCAGGACAGTCATCAGTTTAAAGGCCCTGATTCCCATCAACCCCTCCCCTACCTTTTGGTGCTGGGGACTACTTAACCCACCCCTCTCTCCATCAGTTTTAGTGAGGGGCCAGTAGTCCCCTGACACACAATACAATAGCAACAGCATTGGCTGTAGCAGCTGTTACAGGATAGACCCCATTGGCAATGTCAAATTAGGATGGGCCCGGATCATATAATCAAATATCCAGATAATCAGGAGATTGGGAGGTTGTAGAGCCATCTAGTGGCCACAAGAAGACTTGCCTGCTTCTGGCCCAGTGTGCGCTGGTTGGGGGGTTCACATGGAATGCTGTACAATGGAAGGGGAAAAGACCAGGTGGAATGATTCCAGGTGATAGGACACCTCCTATTATTAACTGCTGCTAGCAAGATGCTTACATGTCTCCTTACAGCTCCCCAGCTGCCCCCACCATAGGACAGGCAGGAGAGGATCGTTACATCCAACTGACAGAGGGAAGCACAAAGCCTGAGAAAGGCAAAGGGCCTTGTCTGATTTCACACAGTCAGTCTGGGACAACACTAGGAATAGGACCCAGAAGCCCTGATTTTGAAACTCACCCTCAGTCTGGAGTTTCACACCCTGACTGATCAGAATAAGGTGACCTCCAATGAGCTACAGACCCACAGCCCTGCTTAGGGATTGCTCAGCCAGTAGTTTAGAACAAGAGCAGGAGTCAGCAACTGTTCCAAAGGGGTGTGCAAATATTAAACCCTCCTGCCTGGGGTTGTGTCACTCTCCTGGGAGAAGGGGAGGGGCTCTCTCCACCACACACCCCGCTTGGTCTCCTGCCCGGCCATATGGGTTGATGCAAACCTTTCCATGGATTATCAGTTGCTAATGGACACTCGTGCTCAATTATATAATTACATCTGAGTTATTTTGCTAGTGCTGCAGCTAGGGAGATCAGTTTAATTTACATTATAAAACAGATTAAGCATTTTGAGTTGTTTGTGTTACTATGTCAAACTTCATTTCAAATAAAGAAGAGCATTACAACTAACACAAAAGACTTCAATGTTTTCTTTAAGGCAAGAGTGAAGAACCACTTTGGGGTCAGGAGTCATTGACCCACAGAAAAATCAGTTGGAGACTACACAAGTGAGAAGCAACCATCTCCCCCAAACTCACTGATGTGGCCCCAACTGTGGCACCTAACTCCTCTGGTGCCCCAGCCTCATAGGGTGAGGGGAAGGGAATGGGGGCACTGAGGGTCAGAGCTCACCATAGACCAGACTTACATTTCTTGGGTTCTGGAGTTGCTGGATTTTGTGGACACCCTTAGGCTCTGGGATAGGGACAAAAATGAGGGATACAGTATGAGGCAGGACTGCCAGCAAGGAGAATAGGGATGGGGTGCAGGATCTGGGGGAAGCTGGAATTCAGAAGAAGTCTCGGAGTATGGTGTCTGGCCAGATGGAGGGAGCAGGAACAAGGGAGGGTGCAGTGTGTGGCCAGGTGGAGGGTACAAGAACAAAGGAGAGTGTGAGAACAAGCTGAGGATGCTGGGTGGGGGGGTCAGGGGATGACGAGGAACATTACCTGGCTTCATGCCCCCTTACAGCAACATCTGAAGCAATGCTGTCCTGGCTGCAATGGAGGACACTACAAGCTGGAGACAAAACTGCCATAGCCATGCAGCTGTGGGTCAGCCCTGGAGGCCAGAGGCATCGCTGCTGCAGTCACATGGGCCAGGGCCAGAGATGCCATTACCACAGCCACAAAGTACAGAGCCGGCCCCAGAAGCACTCTGCCATAGCCACATAGCCCTGGAGACACAAGATTCCAGGGCTGTGACTATGAGTTGGCCTTGGAGGGCAGAGGTGCAGTGGCAATGGTGCCTGCGGTCTCCACGGCTGGCCCCAGGTTGTGTGGAGGAACCTCAGCCCCATTGCTGCCTCCTCTCCAGTGGCTGCACAGCAGGAAGAGTTATAGGGCTGAGTTTGTTCCCTAGCAGCACATGCCCATTGGGGGAAGGATCAAAACCCTAAGTGGGCTGGATTCTGCACATTAAGATGCTTTTCCCCACTTCTAGTATAGGGTTTCTCCCCTGTGTGGGCTCTCCTATGTGCAACAAGGCTTGAACTCTGACTGAAGCATTTCCCACAGTCAGAGCAGCCGAAAGGTTTCTCCCCTGTGTGGGTTCTCCTATGGATAACAAGAAGTGAGCTGTGGCTGAAGCATTTCTCACAGTCAGAGCAGCTGAATGGTTTCTCTCCTGTGTGCCTTCTCCTATGTGCAACAAGGATTGAACTCTTACTGAAGCATTTCCCACAGTCAGAGCAGCTGAAGGGTTTCTCTCCTGTGTGGCTTCTCCTGTGGATAACAAGGCTTGAACTCTCACTGAAGCTTTTCCTGCAGTCAGAGCAGCTGAAGGGTTTCTCTCCTGTGTGGCTTCTCCTGTGGATAACAAGGCTTGAACTCTCACTGAAGCTTTTCCTGCAGTCAGAGCAGCTGAAGGGTTTCTCTCCTGTGTGCGTTCTCCTGCATTTCACAAACTTTGAGCTCTTCGTGAAGATTTTTCCACAGTCAGAGCAACTGAAAGTTTTCTCTCCTATGTGGGCTTTTTCATGTTTACTAAGAGTTGCACAGTCACTGCAAGCACAGGGTGACTCTTGATGGGGGATTTTCTGCCGAACATTTTCAACCTCCTGCTTCTGTGACTGGATTTACCCTGTCCCCGTCCTGGATGGCTTCGCTGCTGCATTTGTGGGCTACACTGTCTCTTACAGGTCTCTCCTTGCTTAGGACTTTGAGAAACATGCGCTTCAGATATTCCCAACATCATCCCACATGGAGCCATTCGCTCTGGTCCTTCATTATGAAGACTTTTGTCATGGTTCTCACTCAGCCTCCCATCACCTGTGGGAAAGAGAATCCAGACAGAAATCATTCACTTTGCTGAGCTGAAATAAAACTATAAAAGAGAAATAGAAGAGGGGGACCATGCTCCAAGAATGGCTTTAAAGATTGAAGAATCATGAGCTGAGCTTACCCTCCTACCCCAAAACCCTTTTGCACACACAGCACACCTCTGACTGGTGTTCAAGAAAGGCTGATGGATCAGTCAGATTTGATGAAAATGCACAACTGAAATCTGCTATGAGGACACAGAAATTAGATTCTAAGTCAGTTTAGCTGATTGCTCACCTGTGTGAGTGTCACTGATGATCTCTCCTCTCTCACAGTCCTGGAGATCTGGGATCCACAGTTCCTCCCCCTGCTCCACCCAGGAGATCACATGAGCTTTGGAGACAGGAAATCCTGTTTGAGGAGCAATTAAAAGAGTTGATCTTGTTCATTAAGGTCTGTGCCATTACTACTTTCAGAGTCAGGATCTGAGTTGCCCTCCCACAGAGGCACCTTCCCCACCTTGCAGAGACTGGGCTCTGGCTGGTACAAGATCCCAGGAAACACTCTTCTGCAGAAAAGGTGCATCTCTCTGCCTCTGGAATGCCCAGCTGATTCCCCATGGGAGCTGAGTGCTCTGCTGCACTCTCTAAAGTACAACCAGCAGTAAGTCTCCCTCAAGGCCTGTTCCATCCTCTCCCCCCCACCAGGACTGGACAGGAAGACACTGCTCAGAAGGGGAGCTCTAGTAAGGACTGGAAGGTCTGACACTGATGCCCCCAGACAGAACTCAGACTGCAGCTGCCACATGGCAGGACACTAGGACTTGGAGAGAAAGGACCCAGCAGAGCTCTAGGTGCCCAAGGTCTCTGTCTACAAAGCTCCTGG